AGGACTAGAATCCATATGTCCTGCCCACCCCTCAGCCCATGACCTCAAAATAACCATGGGTTGAGGTGAAAATGAATATATGTTCTTGTGTGCCTAAAAGTTTGCATATGTAAATGTATATATAAATTTGGTTTAGGGAATGAAAATTGACTTATCCTACTGTATTAATATGCATTCCAAGGAAATGGACCTGGCTAACCTAGCAAGATGTGGAGAATATGCCTACATAATAAGAACTGGTGAAATAAGTGAATAATACATTTGCACAATAACCACATACACATCATCAAACGATATCCTCCATTTTTCTAGTATTTTTCTGTTTACAATATTGATATCTTTAACTTGTCTCAAATTTATTCATTTATCTGGTGTGTTAGGCATCTAAATTTATTGCACCCCAAATAGGTTATTATTCATTGAGTTGTATAGTCTGCTTCTGATTATTTGAAAAACCATGTTTGCCATAATATGAAGTTTTTATAGGTACAGTAGTCTGTTTCTGCATTTTTCTAGCCTACTCTTTTGTCTGTTTCTTTACTAACATTATACACATTTAATTATTGTTACTTTATGCATTATCATATCTATCAAGACCAGTGACAAGTGTTCCCTCTTTACTCTTTTTTTTTTAAAAATTGTCTTGGGTGTTTCAGGCCATAAATTTTAGCATTAGCTTATTAATTAACTGGAATAATTCTATTAGGATTTTTATTTGAATTACATTAAATTTACAGTTTAATTCAGGGAAACTCATAGTGTACATCTTCATGCACGTAGGTCTTTTTAAAAAATACATATAAGATATACAACATGATGTTATGGGATATATCTATGCTAATTTGCTCACCATTTTACTATATATTATACAGTATATTTACTCTCTATATATATATACTATAATATATAGTAATATGGTGAGCAAATTAGCATAGTCATCATCTCACATAGTTACCTAATTTTTGTTTATTGTTTTTATGGCAGAAGCAGCTGAAATTTACTCATTTAGCAGGAATCCTAAATGCAGTACAATTTTATTATCTATCATATTGTACATTAGATCTCTAGACGTGTTCATCTTATATATCTACTACTTTATATCCTCTGAGTTACATCTCTACATTTTCTCCCTCCTCTCCTATCTCTGGTAACCACTGTTTTATTCTCTTCTATTAGACGTATCTATTTTCTGGTTTATTTCACTTAGCATAATGTCCTCCAGGTGTATCATGTTGTGCAAATAGCAGGATCTACTTCTCCTCCCCCTCCCCCTTCCCTC